TCCTGCTGCTATAACGCATAAGCATCGTTAGCATTTCCTCCATTTTTATGGGTCCGTCTTTCACAATTTGCATTCCAGACATGTCATCTCTCAGGGACAGGCCATTTTCCCTCATGCTGCTGTGGCCCCTGCCTAACGCTGCTGCATCTCCTTCCAAACATCCTTGGCTGTATAGGGAAGGATGTGGTTTCGAAACCAGAGGAGGTGCTGTTTTCACGCCTTAGTTGGACATATCCATTTTCTGCCCTTGTTCTTTGTTTCTTTTCTGAGGCGTTATGGTTCTGCCTCTATGTTTCCCAAATCCTTTTCTACTAGATGGACACAGTCCTTTTGCGTCCTGCCTGCCCTACATTAGGTGGAATCAACTCTGCTCTAGTCCCCAGTCATCTTCCCCAAGTGTATGCTGTACACACAGCTCCCTACGCCTCATTGATGGTTGCTGGTTATAAATTCATGTCCTCAATCCCTACTCGGCTTAGCTGAAGTTGGATGCCATCCCAGTGCCTTGCAACTGTCCCTGGTCCAGTGGAAAGTTTAATCTGCCAGTTCATGGTGTGTTGTCCTATGGGGAGAGTTCAGTTCAGTGCAGCTCCACACTGCACACCGAGAAGCTCATTAGCAGGACATGGTAGCGTCTGATGACACTGTGGTCCAAGAAGGCCTCATTAAGCACGAAATGTTTTCTGCAGCTCTCTGAGATTTCCTAGTAACTTAAGGAATTCAGACATAGTTACCACAAGGGTACAGATGAAATGGCGGGAAGGAGGCAAAGATGCACTCTCCAAGGACTATGTCCCATCTGTGTCTTTTGGAGGAGCAATTCTGGACAAAGCTGACAATTCCTTTTAAGTAGCCTTGGATCCTCGCTACAAAGATGCAGATGGGATCAGCTAGGTCTGGCAGACACACTCTCCCCTGGTTGGCTGCTAAGTGGTGTTAAGTGATGAATGTTAAACTTAACAAGGGGGCTTACAGATTTACGTAAGGGTTTTACTGCCTGCCAGGTATAAATGATGGAGCAGCTTTGATCTTTAGGGGGATCAGTGCTGGAAGTGATTTAAATTAAAGTTAATAAAACTGCTTAAAACTGTACTCTGCAATCCCACAGGCTGAAGAAGCCCTAGTGGTCACTTGACTGCTCTAAGTAAAAATTGTTCACGTTTATGAGGGAGATCAAATCCCACTGGCGTTAACTGTGTTTCCAGCTGAATAATAAATGGCATCTTCCAAGAGTCCTATGAGTCCTTCCCTACAGTCTGGTTGAGCCATCAGGTTTTTTATCTCCAGATGCCAAAAATGGCGAGGCTCTTGGTATTTCCATGAGTTTTTCCTCATTCCTTATCCATTTCATATTCTCTACCCAGGTCTGATCCCATTGCTATTTTGTGTAATAGTTTATGCTAATGTTGGTGCTTTTTTATTTTGCCATCAAGTGGGTCTTCTGGTGTGTTTTGTCTCAGGACTTTGCTGGATAGCAGTGAAAAGTAAGTGCCATAAACATTAAAATTTCATTTTGCCACCGATGACCTTTTGAAAGGGAACATCACTAAAGCATGTTTACAGTGAATGGTCCTCTTATGTGTTCACTCATCCCAGTATCCTAAGAAATTCCCATACCAAGGTGAAAATTCTCATTTTTAATGGAGGGCCTAGGTTCTATCTCCTAGGAATCTCAGCTGCCTCCTCGAGTATTCTCACAGATATTTCCATTGAGTATTTCCAAATGTCCTAACATGAAACAACGTCAGCTGTAGTGTACATACTACCTCCTGGGCAGGCTTCTGGGCACAGGTGTAAACAGCAGCTGTGCAACCTGCACTGATTCCGGTGAAGAAGTGGCTCTTTTGTGACTGTCACAGAGAAGTTGCTGGGTTTTACTGACATCCCTGTATCAGCCCAGTCCATTAGGCTTACAAGGGAGATCAAATTCCACCAGTTAATAGTGTTTGCAACTATGAAACAAATAGCATCCTCCAGGATTCCCATGAGTCCTTCCTTCATACCATCAGGGTATGAGGGTTCATACCATCAGCCTGAGTCACGAGGCTCCTTCCTCTGCAGACACACAAAAATGGCAGAGATCCTGCTGTTGCCACAGGGTTTTCTTATTCTCCAGCTATTTCCTAGAAACCCTTAAACTGGTACCAGAACGCCTGCTATCTGCTTCATAACAAAACAAGTAGTGTTTCAGTCGGCCTCTCTAGAAATCACTGATTGGCAGCCACTGAAATTGAATTAGCAGTAACTTGCCACTGGTAAAAAGAAATACTTTTTTTGTTCTTTATTTCAGCCTAGTGCGCTGTTAGCCCATGAAACTCCTCAGCACAACAATTTGATGAGGCCATGATCTTGGAGAGATACCAAAAGAGATGGGCTATTTCAGATGGATCACAAGGAAAGCCTGAATTATAAAGGTACAAACAAGTCTGGGATGGGATTTGCTGTGCGGAAGGAGCCAGTTGAAAACTGCCAGTGATTGGAAGGAAGTTGCATGAAAATCTAGTTACTTGTACCTTGTTATATAATTACCTCTTGCAGAGTTTGTTTTTTTCCTAAATTGCAGTCGCTGTTGGAGACAGGTTATGGGCTTAGACAGACCACTGGCTGGACAGCCTGGTATTTCCTGCATTCTTATTTCCTTGGATCCTCTAATATCACTGCCTCCTATCTTTGTCCTGCTATTGTGTCTTGCCACAAGGATATTACTATGTCTGGGGTTGTAGGATTTCTACAGACAGCTCCTAGTGATATTTTTCAGAGACCCCCCCCCCGCCCCAGGTAAACTCCTCATACTCCCATAACGTTTTCTAAATCTCCCCTGGACTGAGGGTCATCTCTCACTTTACGTGGTATAAATTGACAATGACACAATGAAATCAGTCATGATGAAATGGCTCCATTTGGATTAATATGAGAGGAGAATCTGCATCTGTGTTTTTGTTGTGGTGTCCCACAAACTCTCCTTATACCACAGTGGTGCTTTAGCAAAGATCTCCAACAGTATTTTGAAGTCTCCTATCCCATCCCATAAACATGCCATTAGATTCCTATGTGTTTCCAGGGAGGTTCTTCATGCTAGGTCTTGTAGAAGCCTGTCTGTTCCCTGCGGCTGGATTTTTGTGGGGCCACAATTGTTGTCTTAGAGAAGGAGGGAAGTGACTCACATAACAGAAGAACCACTGTGGCTGGAGTTCATTCCTCACCCACCCATACGGGTGTGTGAAAAGTCACTCTGAGGAGAATAAGGAGATTCATGGTCATCTGGTTGTGGTTCCTAATTTCTGCCTTTCACTGCCCTATTTCCTCTGACTGAGGACTAGTCTCCAGTAGCCTCCCTACTCTCTTGAAAAAGATGCCTTATGTCCCTGGAAGTCCAGGAGAATCAGGCACGTCATACCCTGAGACTCCTTTGAATCCCAGCCTCTGCTCTCAGCTCATTTTTTGCTTCCTGGTATCTTTCCCATAGTTTAGCATGAAGTCAGCGGACTGAAGTATTCAGACAGGATAAATCAATTGATGTCTGCTGATTTACGCCATTGGAAGATTAGGCCCAGGTCAAGTACAGCGCGCAGCACTCTCCAACAAGGGAGTCTCTTTGAAAGAAACCACAGGCAGGTATTTCAGCCCAGTTAGCTGGGCGTTCAATTATGGCTTTTGCTACAGTGTAAAACCAGTTTTTCCAAAGGATACCGGTAGCAGCCTCTTAAAAAAGGAGTTGTGGCCCCTCCCCGGTGACCTTTCCTTGTCAAATGCTACATGCTGTGATGTTCCTACACAATAGAGAACACTCTGGTCTCTGTGTACTTGGCAAAGGAAGAAATGGCTTTTTTAATCTCATTGCATGAATTATTGGCAAAACGTTTGAAGTGGCTCCAAGATTTCTCTCTGACTGACTTGCATTTTCTCAGGAGATTTGTGTAGTTCGGGAGTTTGGAACGTGTAACTGAGTAACTCAGAGAAAGCATTTGCTACCTTTTGAAAGGCTGCTGTGTCCTTGCAGAAAACGACTTCATCTGCTGCATCAATATCGCTTTGCAGAGGACAAGGCTGTTGGGTGCGACGTGCCGAGTCACGTCGAAGAATACCTACCCCTTCTGCTGCCCTGGCTGGCCCTTTGGTGTAGGTATTGCCTAGCGGCAGTGCCTCCTGCTGATGCTGCTGGGACACTACCCTTAGCCAAGCTGTGGACATGGGAGCAGTGCTCTGCTGTGCCAGGCCCTGGACAAACACAAAGTGAGAGCCTGTCCTGGCCTGAGTGGTCTCACTGTCTGCAGAGACGGGCGCGAAAACGCAGACACAAGCCTGGGGCCATGTATAA